GTAGGTTTGCAGCTTTATTCCCTATCCTGTATCCGTCTGCGGTCTTCTTTGCCATTCTCAAGATTTAATGACTTTGCAGTTGTTAGGGTTAAATTCAGGAATCATCTGTTGGACCAGGCTCACAGCCTGTCCATATCTCTTTGTAATTTTACCTGATCTTCATCCGCTTGTATTCTCCTCATTAATTTCACATCATCAACGACAGAGAAACCTCTGAATCTAGTCCTTTCAGCATATCATTCGCATTTACAAAAAAAAAAAAAAGCACTGAACCTAGGTCTGACCCATGTGGAACCCAAACTTGACACATGCGCCCACTCTGATACCATATCACGTAGGAACACTAATTGTTTCCTTCCTGTCAGGTATTCCTTGATCGACTGCAGTGCTGTGTCTACTATTCCTGTCTGCTCTTCTGGTTTTTTAACAAGTCTTGTGTGGAACTATGTTAAAGAAGATGCAGTCTATACATCCCTCTCACTCCTGTCTTACTTCTGTTACCTTGACTTAGACCTTGCTGATTGTCATGTATAAGCTCTCTCTATGTGCTCCACCACTCTTCTCATGATAATCTTCTCCATGACTTTACATAGTATACAAGTCAGTGACACTGGTCTGTAGTTTAATGCTGCCTGACTGTCTCCTTTCTTAAAAACTGGGACTACATTTGCTGTCTTCCACACCTTACGCATTTGCCCTGTTTCTATCGATTTATTAAAGATTATTGCTCGCGGTATACACACTTTCTCTTGTTTCCTCTTTCAGGACCCCTGGAGAGATGTTATCTGGGCCCACAGCATTTGAGGTATCTAATTCACCTAGCGGTTTCTTCACTTCCTCCTTGATTATGTGCAGTGTGTCCAGCACTTGCTGGTGTACCCTACCGCCTCGGATTGGTGTGTGTGTGTGTGTGTGTGTGTGTGTGTGTGTGTGTGTGTGTGTGTGTGTGTGTGTGTGTGTGTGTGTGTGTGTGTGTGTGTGTGTGTGTGTGTGTTTGTATTCACCCAGTTGTGGTGGCAAGGGTCGAGTCTTACTTCTGGTCCCGCTTTTCTGATGGCCGCTATCGCTTTTACTCTCTCCTGGCTACCAGAGGCCTGTCATATCTATTCATAAAACTACGTATGGATTCTGCTTCTATCACTTCGCTGTCTATGTCGTTCTGTTTCATAACTACTTGAAGGCTGAAGAAGTATTTCCTAACATCCCTGTGACTTATCTGTGCTTTAACCTTCCAGTTGTGACCTCGTGTATCCAAAACCCGCCTCGCAAATACTCTATTTTTTCTCCCTGTCCATTCTGAGAGAGAGAGAGAGAGAGAGAGAGAGAGAGAGAGAGAGAGAGAGAGAGAGAGAGAGAGAGAGAGAGAGAGAAAGAGAGAGAGAGAGAGAGAGAGAGAGAGAGAGTGAGAGAAAGCGAGAGAGAGAGAGAGAGAGAGAGAGAGGATTAACATAGAATATACATTTTTTATATTTTGTAATATTTCTTAATCTCGAGTAAACTGAGGTTAACCTAAATTTAGTAATATTTAACATCAGTGTAAAATATCTGGCAATCCCTGCCTTTGCTTTAATTCCAAGGACTGCCTAAAAAGGATATTTGTCTTGTACTCACCTACTTATGCTTTGCAAGGGGTCAAGTCTCGGCTCCTGGATGTGCGCACGCACGTGTGTTTTGTGTGTAGCTTCAGGAATCAACGACATAAAACATATTCCAATGTTTATGTCCTTGATTTTCACACACACAGGAGAACATAAACCATAGGCAGGACGCGAGAAGCTCAAGCAGTGAGGCTGTGGCAAGTTTGTAAACACCAAGTGACTGTCGGGCATGATGCCAGGAAGACGCCCTGGGGTATAAACCACCAGTGCCTGCCCAGGGGCACTCTGTGTACATACCCACGCTGAACAGATTACCTAGCAGGCAATGTTTGGCACTCCGTGTCCCGCACCTGTTCAACACCTGTAACCACAATACGTCAAACTTATCCTTATCTTTACAAGAACTGAAGCCCAAAAGATCCGCCGATTTACAGCATAATAAAATTCCCCTTTAGCGGAAGTGATGTAATATATCTGTTGAGAATCATGGCCCCGGGGGCTCGCTCTCACATATGGTCCCAGGGGCTCGCTCTCACATATGGCCCCAGGGGCTCGCTCTCATATATGGCCCCGGGGGCTCGCTCTCACATATGGCCCCATAGATTAGAAAAGAAATAATGCAGCAATAAGAATTGATAAACAGCGCTCCTGATAATAAAACTAAGTAGGAATTAATAAGAACTTGATAAGATTTATACACCGTCTTACGTCTTCGTGAGACAAAATGATCAGCAGTACTGCCAGAGTGTAAGAGACTTATTAACACGATTCCCTTTCACACTCGTAAGACAGTTTGGTAGATATATATATATATATATATATATATATATATATATATATATATTTATATATATATATATATATATATATATATATATATATATTTATATATTATATATATATTTTATATATATATATATATATATATATATATATATATATATATATATATATATATATATATATGTATATATCAGCATATATTTATTTCGTATTTTTCGTGCCTTTATGTGCACGTTTACGGTAATCTTGTCTCCGTTCAAGAGGATTAGCTTGATGCTGGTAAAAAGCTCTTGATCCAAGGAAATTAAGCTGTCCTTTCCTTCCTCGGATTAAAATGTTCCCTTCTCCATGATAGACGAGGACAAAGATCTATATTCTGGAGCCAGAAGTAGGTGCAGCAGTTGGATACGGCGTCACAGGTGGGCGTGGCTATCTACTGGAAGTAGGTCATGCCAATTAACTATTTATGAATAAAGTTGTAGAATATTTTCTAAATTGTCTTTATTCTCATGAAAATGTAGTTCACATAAGTCTGTTGCTCATTCAAGAGAATTATTTATTCTAGCACACTGCAAGCTTCAACACCAAGCACAGTGATACATTTGTATTTTCTTGACTTACTTGTGACAGGATCTTCTGCAGTTACTCAGCTGTGACAGGATCTGATGTAGTTACTCAGCTGTGACAGGATCTGATGTAGTTACTCAGCTGTGACAGAATCTGTTGTAGTTGCTGAGCTGTGACAGGATCTCTTGTAGTTACTCAGCTGTGACAGGATCTGTTGTAGTTACTGAGCTGTGACAGGATCTGTTGTAGTTACTCAGCTGTGACAGGATCTGTTGTAGTTACTCAGCTGTGACAGGATCTGTTGTAGTTACTGAGCTGTGACAGGATCTGTTGTAGTTACTCAGCTGTGACAGGATCTGTTGTAGTTACTCAGCTGTGACAGGATCTTCTGCAGTTACTCAGCTGTGACAGGATCTGTTGTAGTTACTCAGCTGTGACAGGATCTGTTGTAGTTGCTGAGCTGTGACAGGATCTGTTGCAGTTACTCAGCTGTGACAGGATCTGTTGTAGTTACTGAGCTGTGACAGGATCTGTTGTAGTTACTGAGCTGTGACAGGATCTGTTGTAGTTACTCAGCTGTGACAGGATCTGTTGTAGTTACTCAGCTGTGACAGGGTCTGTTGTAGTTACTCAGCTGTGACAGGATCTGTTGTAGTTGCTGAGCTGTGACAGGATCTGTTGTAGTTGCTGAGCTGTGACAGGATCTGTTGCAGTTACTCAGCTGTGACAGGATCTGTTGTAGTTACTCAACTGTGACAGGATCTGATGTAGTTACTCAGCTGTGACAGGATCTGTTGCAGTTACTCAGCTGTGACAGGATCTGTTGTAGTAACTCAGCTGTGACAGGATCTGTTGTAGTTGCTGAGCTGTGACAGGATCTGTTGTAGTAACTCAGCTGTGACAGGATCTGTTGTAGTAACTCAGCTGTGACAGGATCTGTTGTAGTTGCTGAGCTGTGACAGGATCTGTTGCAGTTACTCAGCTGTGACAGGATCTGTTGTAGTTACTCAGCTGTGACAGGATCTGTTGTAGTAACTCAGCTGTGACAGGATCTGCTGTAGTAACTCAGCTGTGACAGGATCTGTTGCAGTTACTCAGCTGTGACAGGATCTGTTGTAGTTACTCAGCTGTGACAGGATCTGTTGTAGTTACTCAGCTGTGACAGGATCTGTTGCAGTTACTCAGCTGTGACAGGATCTGTTGTAGTTACTCAGCTGTGACAGGATC